CGTCAGTAGTGTGTCCCTGTTAGCACTCGAACGACGAACCTTTAGGTTGGGACTTTAAACCCTTACTTCTGAGCTACACGGTCGTCGGTCATCACCTTGTGCGATTGATTCTACCAATTTAGATGGTGAATATTCGGATTAACCCATTCGGTTTTTCCCAGACACCAGGCATTATGGATGATCTCCTTATGAGATCGTTAATTCCACACTATTTGTATGCATTACAGTTAGTTCATCCTCATCAGAAATCATCATTGCACTAGTTCCTCCGAGAATCTCCAAACTCAAATCCGGGTGGGGAGTGGGTTGTGAGTTGATGCATCTCTAATTGACCAACACTGATACATACTGCACAAATGTTTGCATTACTCTTGAGTGGTATTTTGGTGTGTTCGTGATGAGTTATTCACATTGAATTTATTGATCACCCATTAGTGCAATCCACCTTGATCTTCGCGTATGCATTTCACTTTGTCTTCGCTTATATAAATCTCAGGCAATTGAAACATCCGTTACTGGATAGATGTAATAAAACAGCCGTTTTGTCACTAGGACCTAGCACGTTTGTCATATCAATTCCACATTCACAGCAGAACGTAGTGCTCGACTCAAATGGGACATTCGTAGACACCGGCTATTTCGAACACTATGGAACTATGTTCGTAGTGTATTGTATTATATTGATTCCACTGATCTTGATGCACGTCATTTGATGCAAAAAGTCAGTCTGGTTTCTCTCTCTCTCTCTTGCATGCTCTCGGTANTTCACGAACCAACTTGGGCTTGTGATCATAGATCTAACAAGCTAACTGACACCGTGCCCGTCCATTGAAGTCACTATTTAGTGGGCTTTTTCATCCCCACGGATAATCTGTGGTTGCTCATTTGCGTAGGAACCTCCCGATTCCGTGTGAAAGTCCATACAATAAACAAAGGCTAAGTGAAACTTTTATTCTGATTCAACTTAATGAACGTTTTTCTTGCATTTGAGTACAGCTTTACCTTTCTATCGCTCACCTGTCGAGATCATTTAACCTGAAGTGTGCGCAAAGTGATTTCAATGAAGTCCCTCAGTAAGGTTCTAAATGAATGAAGTACATACTCGACCCGGAATTAACCTGTTATTCGATGTTATACACGAAGAGCTTCAAAATGTCCAAATCGGTGGATGAGTGTCTTCGGGGTACGGACTCAACGGATTGTGGCCTCGAGTGCGCTTGAGTGAAATCCTTTTATTTCACCCGTACGGTAAGCTCATGTGACATGAAAAATTGAGTCGAATAGTTCATAATTTTCGAAAATCCTAATGTAAAATACCAAATATATGCTTCGTTTTACAAAATAAAGCGAAAAATTGCGTTTTCTTTTCATTCCACTAATCGGTCTCATCATGTACACTGTATCAAATTAGGATTTCTTGCGGATGAATACCTTACTCTCCTGTTTAGCTAAGTACACGAAACATTTTAATCGGCGAATGTGTGACTGAAAGAATTTGATAAGTGTAGTCAACCGATAGTTCCACGCACACACGATAACAATTTGCGTGAACAATTCGTACAGCTAATTCAGCAATGTATAAGTTTAACCAAGAATGACCACCCAGAGTTTCCAATGCCGAGATTTGGTTCCTTGTTGGACACATTTAACGATGGTAAACACGTTCAACCTGTACACCAGCTCTTTCCATCGCGTCCCGAGACATCTAGTNCACACGAAGGAGCATTGTAAACAAAAACAGTACGTTTTTATTCAGCCCGGGTAGTCGTATCAAGCACACTGCACCATCGTATCTTTGATGCTTGCTGTCTGACTGAACTTTGCACCTATTCCGGGGCATTTCGGGGCATTCAATTGTCGGTCAATTCCAGTTTGAAGTGTCTTATAACCACGGAGTTTGAACCTCCTCCAACATGGTGGAAAACAACATCCGATAAACCATTTCGAGTATCCTCGTCAGTAAGTCGGGAAAAATCACTTTGATTAAATCACAACAGACTTCGAGCTTTCAAATCATGTGTTGCATACAAGTCATCATCATCCTCATCATCATACAGCGGAATGCAAGGAAGACAACTTCATTGACCGCTACTAAGCTGACAATATATCCAATCTAAGTGCGAATTTGTAAGAAAGATGAGGATTGTTCGTGTTTTGGGATACGGGTAAAGAAAGCAAACCTCAATGGTCGACACAGACAGAGAGAGAATACACAGTGTAACAGTGCGTACACAGGCATTCTGGTATGATATGAAGTGACAACAAGAACGCCACTGCTGTCGGTTTTCTGCCATGACCTTCAGAGTCTCCAACCACCCAGTTACCAAGTCTTTAGAACCCCAACCCAGATAAAGAGAGAGATCTATTCTACCTAATCACGCTGTACATTTCTTCAGGTCTCGTCTCCATGTCATTTGCTGGCGTCCAAATGGCTTTCTCCAGTCTGCAGCAATCACTGCAAACACGACACGATGCGGTAGGCGATCATTAGACATACGCAAGACGTGTCATAACCAACGGAGTTTATTGAACTGAATTCAATGCGATAGCCAGTTCTTACTCGATGCAGTTCGAAACACTCGACGACTCACATTTAGGTTACCAACCAGCTCACTCCAGCCCACCTGGGCCAGACTACGTAAGCATCGATTCCATGCAAGGGGAGAGATAATTTTCCAGATCGCATAGGGTAACTGATGGACGTGGAATGATCTTTTGATATTGCCATTCAATTTTCTATATCGGAAACCTCCTTTCCCTTTGATTCATTTGAATAAATATCGCTACAAGAGCAGAACTGATATTGGTCATCAATCTCGCGTGCTCTCAGTCAACTGTCTACCAACATGAAATAGGTTAAAATGATGTAGGAAAAATACATGGACATTTACATAATTGTTGGTTCACTGTACTTGCGGTTCGTGATGCGTTGGAAGGACTAAACGCCCCCACTGTCGACCAGAATGAGTGAACATGTTTCGAATAACTTATCACTTTGAGGAGGGACACTTCCAGTAAACACGACTGCACGACATCTGTTGGATACCGAACACTGTATAGAAGAACTCAAAGCTTTTGTGTTGTCCGCAAACTTTGTAGCCCAAGGCTGCTTAGGTTTGCCCAGGCGATTGTCATTAGCTGTTTAAAGCCTGACTGTTGCGTGCAAAAGGCCTTCGTGGTACAGATGCTGTTGCCAAGGTAATTGTGTACAAACCGCCCCTTCCTTCCCCCCCGTCATTTCAACCCTTCCCTCAACCCTATCACTGGCACTTCATCTGTCTCATACGTATATTGCACAACTCGTTTGGCCCAGTTAATTGACCAATTTTCCTATCCGTTATCTTTCTACATCCGTTTTTATTCAATTCTGGTTTTTCTGGACGAAGTTCTCTCATTGGTATTACGTAGCCATTCTCAGCTCTCTTTCCTCTGCAGTTAATCGTTTTCCAGTAGGTAACTACTTTCATACTAGCATCTCCTTTTTATGACTCTTTGTAATCATTATCCTCTACCCTCATTCACTCATCTCTAAATGACTTTGGTAATGACTCAAGAATCGATTTATTTCCCGCTGGGTCCACATCATAGTGCAAATTTCCTGTATATGGTATTCTTCTTCTAACATTCCGACCTATATCATGTGCATACGCAGCTGATTGAGAGCACGCAAACTTGATGGCCAGTGTCAGTTCTGCTCATTTATGTTATTTGTTTTATTCAAATTTTCTTTGTCACATTTATCCATGAACAATAGCGGATCGTATGTACGCGGGGTCTCGGTACACCCTTGTGTAATGACAGTAAACGGGTGGCACTGGCTCTCCGGTTCTACACAGTGCACCAAACGCCTGAGGTGTTCACCATGGTATCGCATTTTCGTGCACGCGTGTCTCCTGTATTAATGTCGTGTGTTTTGCATCTGGTTTATGTAATCGGTCAAATAGCTTTCGATTTACCCATACTTTCAGTATGGGCAAACAAAGCAAGAACCTTGTACCTTCAGCTCAAGTATGAGCATGAGATTGCCACAGCCGGGGACCCAGATCAGTGTTGATTTAGCGCTGCAGTGCCAATGTTTCGATCGTGAGGGACCTTGGAGTGTCAGCATTGATTAAAACAACAGACTGACCATCTCGTAGCTGGTACTTTTGTCGTGCTCTTGTTAGTCGTTTGTCAATCGATGAACACGTGGTACTGACTACATAGTCATTTGGAAAAACTGCAGAACCTATTCTGATTGTATGTGAGGCACTCTCCAAGAAAACTGAAAAGCAAAAGCTCTCTGGTCATGATAAGTGTACACATACTGATCCGCGAATTGACAGTGAGAATGACGGTGCACTGCCGTCTTAATGCATATATGTCGAGAAACCGTGCAGGTGTGGAATCGCCCGCAAGGTGGATCGCTCGAGTAGATCAAGAGACAAAGTGGTGAAATATATAGGGGCACTGGATCTTATTCAAGGAAACGTAGGGCAAATTCTGGAAAACGAAAACCATTGCGATTGATCATTGCCNTAGCCACTATTTCAAACGCGACAGGAAGCTGACTTCGGTTCGTGTGTGTGTGTGTGTATGCAATTAACGTGGCATTTTGAATAACGTCTCACGAATGAAACTGAATTCGTTCGCCGTTCGTAATTTACTCAATTAACTTTTATCTTCAGACCACCGATAATCGATCGGCCGAAAATAGCTAAGCAAATTAGTGAGTTAGTGTTGCCATATATTTAGCCTACATAACACAACATATACACTTCTGAGTCACGACTGGACAGGGAAGCACCTAATTTCTCATCATAGATGTAAGTAACAGTCTGAGGTGATTAATTGTACTGTGCCGAGGAGAGAGAAAAG